ATTAAATAAAAAACTTTAATATTAAGGGAGACTCATCACAACTAAAAATATTAGTATTATGTTTTTTTATTAAATAATAAGGGTGAAACTCAAAATATCGTTTAATACGAAAAGTGTTTTACAAGAAGAAGAAACCTATAGAACTATAAAAATGTCATTTTAAAAAAAATTTAATTTAGAGTCAACTCTTTATTTGTATTATGTTTTTATTTTTACATCAAAATGAAAATTAAATAAAATTAATATTACATAACCTCATATAATTTGTACAGCACGAACAATTTTTTATTTTGTATGTATAATGAATAGTTAGGCACAACCACGTTCTCTTTGTCTATAAAGATGGAGCATTTCAAGGAGTTTATTTTTGTCTTTTCCCCTTCTTTCTTTCTTTTATTTTAATTTCTTTGCCTTCCTGAGGCAGTCAGCCAAAAAAAGACAAAGCAGACTGGACAATTCCCATTTATACTTAATATAAAGAAAATGATTTTTTAATCATATTTATTTACTAAAATAAGTTTATAATATAATATGAAAATTTTTATTTATACTTTTTAAATTAAGTAAAACATGCAAATTAATATGTATTTACTTATTTAATATAATATGAATATTATAAAATTTATAAATAATTTTTATTGTTAAAAAATATAAGGCGTAACAAAAATTAAAATGTTATGCTTATAATATCTAATAATGTTATAAATTTATAATTATAAGATACTATTATCATTTTGTTTTATTTTAAACACCATCAATGATTGATATATTTTATTTATTTATTTTTGGATTGTAAGTATATTGGTTTTATAATATTAATATAACAACTTACCAAAGAATCTCTTAATTTATTGGTTAATTCAGTGAATTGACAGTGTCACAGAAAGTTAAGAGTTTAAATTTATGTTTTTTTAAAGAAAGTTAGAAAATATGTACAAATAAATATGATTAGAGAATTTTTTTTATCTTTAATTGCAAAATGAGAGGTAATATTATTTTATTTCTTAATTCATTATACTTATATATCATACAATTCAAATTTTAAATCTTTAATTTTTGACAAAAATTTTTTTCACTAAATTATTTAGATTTTTGCCAAATTTTTTTCATTGGAAGTGTTTAATATGGAGATTTGATTTGATACCAATAATGATACAATCTTTCAAAAAAAAAAAAAACATTTAGTTAAGGGTATAACTTTTTTTTTTCAAACCAAGACTACCAACTTTTAAGGATTTTTAATTAAACATATGATCTTTGTAATTTTTTTAATTAAAATTATCATTTTTTATAAGTTTCAAAAGCTTTTAATTAAACAATATCATATAATCTTTTGATATGACATTATATATTCACTAATTTTAAAAAAAAATCACAAAATTTATATTTTCAATTAATTTTTTTTAAAAAAATAAATAACCTCAATTAATAAAAAATCATATCTTTAATTAAATTTTTTTAAGTTACATTGTTATTTATATTAAATCTCGTTTAATAGGATGGTAATTCCCATTAGTAGTAGCATAATGGGACACAAAAAGGGTCAAATGGCCCTCAACCTCACCATCAACTATATGATTCGCCCGTCCCATATGGTGGAACCCACTGCATTACGAGCTTCAGGCTTTAGCCCATTTATCTCTGTCCTCTGGCTCCGCGTAATGATTCCTCACAGAAAATTTACAGTTCTCTTTTGTTGTTTAGTACAAGTCAGCTTTACCCTTTCTTTTTTTTTTTATTTACCATTAGTATGTTTTTGGACTAATTTTTTTTAATAAATTTTAATATTAATTTCTTTCAAACAATCTTAATAGTGTGCCACTCTCAAAACTTATATTTTAAATTTAATTTATAAAATGATATTTATTTCTTAATAAATTTAATCTTTATATATATTATTTATAATAAGTGGTGTGTAGTTCTATTTGCAACAAAATATATACTATTTTTTTTTTAACAGTATTATATGGGGTGGGTTTGAACCCTGCCCGGGAGAGGAGGGAATGCATCTTATGTGGTCAGAGACCACTTGGGCCAGATGCAAATATATACTGTTTTTGTTACATAAAAAAAAAAAATATATATATATATATACTGTTTTTGTTTATTTTGAATATATTTTTAATTTAATTTTTTAATTTTTTGAATATGTATTTTAAATGAAAATTTAACATATTTTATAAATGATAATAAATTTTTTTTATCTAATAAAAAATATTCAACAAGAACTTCATGTAAGAAAAAAAAAACTTTTCATTTATTTATAGAAGTTGTTAAATTTTTACCTGAAAGTCAAAAAATTAAACTAAAACAATGAAAAATGAATAGAGGGGTAATGTGTAAATAGAATTTTCTAATATGTGCTCTGGTGCAACTATTGCATTTTTTTATATTAATTAAGGGTAAAGGTGTAAAAAATGCAGTTAACTTTATAATTTTTTTTATTTAAAGATGTTAATTTTATTAATTTTTAAATAAATATATTAACTTTTAACATTTTCTATTTAAGGATATTAACTTTCAATTTTTTCTATTTAAGGATACCAACTTTAAACTTTTTTTATGTAAGGATTAATTGGATAATGATGCTAATGTGGCAAATGAATTTTTAATCAAAATGTTGAAAGTTAGCATCGTTAAATAGAAAAAGTTGAAAACTGACATCTCTAAATAAAAAATGTTGAAATTTAACATCTTTATTTAGAAATTCACAAAATTAACATTCTTAAATAAAAAAAATTATAATGTTAATATCTTTTTTACACCGTTACTCTATTAATTAGTATTGAAGAAACAAAAATTGACATTTATTTCAATAATTACTCAATTAAAATAATCTATGTAGTAAAAGTGGGCACGGTTTCGATTTCGATTGTAATCAAAACTAAAGTAATAGCTAACTAAAATTTTGAGTTTTGAATTTTAGTAATCATTAACCAAATTGAAAAAGACGGATTTTATTAATTTTAGTTATATTTTTTTAGAGAACCATTTAGATTGGTTTTAGTTTTAATTAAAAAATTATTTTTATAATTTTTTACTAATTGTTTGAATTCCTTATTTATTATTTTATTAATTTTAATTACTAAAAAATTGAAAATTATCTAAATAAACAAATAATTTTGTAAGAAATTACTAGAAAACCTTAAAAAATCTAAAAACCATTAAAAATTTAATAAAAGGTTTTTGGTTTGGATTTTTCAATTATACTTATTCTAATTATCGGTTTTTTAGTTTTTAAACTTAATAACCAAAACTAAAATCATTTAAAATCAGTTCAGTTCAATTTTTAATCAAACAAATTCAAAACCTAATCAAACCCTATCTATTGGTTATGGTTTCATTACTTTTTAAATTTTTTTCAATTATGAATTTTTTGGTCCACTCCTATCACGTAACACTAGTGGTGAAATTAAAATAGTTTTTATATTTTTCAATAAAATGTTAAAAGGATGCAATAACTATATTCATAACCTTTATTTTTATGTCATAAGTTATAAAAATACCATATATATTATTGATATCAGTACAATCAAAACCCTTCTTTTATGAACGGTCCGTTCTGATCCAGTGGCATTAGACCTTGAGTTAGAGCTGTTCATCTCCGTGGGTTGCACGTTCGAACCCCACAGAAGCCTTTTCCCCCTCCCCAATTAACTCTGTAAATAATTACAAATTGTTCAAAAAAAAAAAAAAACCCCTTTTTTTATACCGAGGACAAAGGAGTTCATAAGTATAAGCCAAGAAAAGTAGATGCCTAAGCTGAAAATGCTAGCAAATAGCAATAAAAAACAAAAAACACATATATTTTATTTTGTTGTAAGAAAACAGGAAAAATTGACTCCAAACCAGTCTTTGGGTTGATTTATCATCAAAAGATTATAGGAGACGGTAAGATGTCTAACCCATGGACCACAGACCATAGTCCCAAATTTTCCAAACAAAGCCCTCTACCACAAATGGTTCAGCCCAATGGCCCGTGGGCCATTGGTATCCCCAACGCATTGGGCGTACATTAGCAGCAATCGGCTTTTTATCCACAGACATTTTACCGTACAACCTTTTTTCCCTCTTTCATGTGATATTTCTTCGCAAACTTTGTTTCGGATTCCTGAATTAGGGGTTTTTTTTTTTTCAGGACTTTCATTTGGGATTTTTTTTTTCTTTTTTGGTTGAAGAAAGATTGGATTTTGAGCCGCTGAGGTGAGTTTTATGGTCCCGTCTTCTTCTTTCGAAATCGCTGTCTGATTTGAGGTGAAGGATTGAGGGTCCTCTGAGATTGATCAAGCACATATTTTTCCTTTTTCAATTTCTTGGGGATCTGGTTCCCTGGAAAGAACTGCTTAGTGGGTAGCTGGAAAGTAAGGGGTTGGTGATTTTAGGTCAACGAAATTAGGGTTTGATTTGTTGATCCATTTTGGGAATAATGAGAATTTATGTCAGCGATCAATGTTTTTGGATTGGGGAAAAAGGTATGAATTTTTTATTTGGAACTTGAAATTTTGGCCCTCAATTTTTGCCTCCGGATTTTGTTAGCCTGTGTATTGGGTTACAAGACCTGGAGAATTAATTGTGTTTTGGCACTTTATAAGAGGGTGTTGCTATTTTCGGAGTTTGATAGCGTGGAAATGGGCAAATTGGTGGATTGGAGGTATTGATTAGCTTCTGGAGTTCTTTTTTAGTGGGTTGCTTGTTTCCATTTTGAACTTTTTTCCAGATTCTTGGATACTATTTTTTGGTGTTGTTGAGTTTGATTTTTGGTGGAATGGATGATACTGAGGATGATGCGAGGTACCCCTCAAATCCATATGGTGTTAGTAACCAGCAGGGTTATGGTTCTTCGAATCGCCAAAAACTCCCTGTTAGGAACGCTCCATATTCTAGGCCAGTTGGTCATCAATACGTTGATGATGATGAGGAGGATGAAGAAGAAGAAGATTTCGTGGAGGAAGAAGGAAACAATAACCGAAATAATGGTGTTAGGTATGTTGGAAAAGATGTGGATGGTTATGATGATGAAGATGAAGATGATGATGAGGATGATGAGGATGCGGAGGATGAAGAGCAGGATCAGGATGGGGATAAGTTGAATTATAAAAAGACAAATAATGCTGATTTTGAGAGGCACCCTAAAAAAAGGAAGCTGAAGAGCCTGGTATCAAGTTATGAATTTGCTCCTCGAGTGCCAGCACCAGCAGTTGCAACTCCATCTGTGCCAAAGTCATCTGGTGGAAGGAACTCACTCACAGATTGGACTGAGCGTGAGACGTTTGTTTTGCTTGATGCTTGGGGTGAGCGGTTTCTGCAACGTGGGAGGAAGAGCCTGCGGTCTGATGAATGGCAGGAAGTTGCAGAGAAGGTGTCAGAGACCTCCAAGATTGAAAGGACAGACATCCAATGTAGGAATCGATTAGATACATTGAAAAAGAAGTATAAGAAGGAGAAGAATTGCTTTGCTGAGACAGGTGCTACTGTTAGCAAATGGGTTTATTTCAAGAAGATGGATATGTTAATGTCAACACCTCCAATGCAGGGGGGACTCTCATGTGGGGTAGATTCAGGAGAGTATGTCTTCTCAAACCCTAGGGTTTATTTGAACCGGGCAAATGGGTTGGATGAGATGAGAGATAGTCCAGTGAACTCTCAGTCTGCTGATGGTGAGGAGGATGATTCAGATGGTCTACCACCCAAGAAGAGAAAGTTTGGTAGGCAGTCTGATGAGGGTTCTTCACTCAGATTGCTTGCAGATTCGATTCAAAAGTTCAGTGAGATATATGAGAAGATTGAGAATAGCAAAAGGCAACAGATGTTGGAGCTAGAGAAGATGAGAATGGATTTCCATAGGGAGCTAGAAATGCAGAAGAGACAGATCATGGAGAGGGCACAGGCTGAGATTACA